TGTACCTTACTTCGTTGGATGCAATATTCTTTCGTTTCTACTATTACATGCCGCTCTCATCTCTCACGTAAAACTCTCTCGTCCGCTCTTCGACCTGACGTTCCGTTCATGCTATAGTTAGCCGCCATGTGTGCCCTTCCGGGTCCTACAGCCCGGCGAAGCCTGAACGGAAAGTCTAACGCCGAACCCTAGGGACCGACGTGGCGTTTAACGTGTTAACAGTAGACCTTCTTTGTCAATCCGCTGCGAGGATCACGCGGATCGCCGCTTCGTTTTGACACTCCGATTATAGCTACTACGTTCTCCTCACTCACGTCATCTTATCGCTAACCGAAGCTCGCATTCTCTCACCTATCCTCTCAGTATTTAAATACCTTCATTTCCAACTAAGCTACCATTTTATTCATATTGATCCTAATCCTGTGAACAAGTTACACAAAATTGGCTCAACGAGCAACGCGTTAAACAGACCCAAAATGGTTACCAAATTTCAACTTTAAACCCGGAACATGACCAACAGGAGCTCTGCAAACTACATAACAAACATTCCAACCTGTTCCAGCGGAATAAAACTTTTCAACTTCCCTCGAATCACACGGTTCTCCTCTATTTGGCAGACTCACTAAACAAATCCTCGCGAAAGGTAACTCGAGGTTTATCCTGTTATTTCTAAGCCGTGCACACAGTCCTGCAAACTCGAAGATAGAGAAATCCAACCTCAAATGCGATTCAACGAGAGAAGACACGAGACACGGTGCAACATCCAGGAATCTTTCGTGAGAATGTCTCGTGATGGTCGCTTTGTCGCGGAGAGATCCGGAGTTGCTGAAAGAGCCACGTGTCCTCGAGGGACCACTGGAATGTCGGCGATCCTCGAGAGTTAAGAGAAACTCGACGCGGGAGCTAACACGCGAGGCAAAGTGGACGTTCGACGTCGAGAGATCGATGGAAATCACGTGGAAACTTATGGACACTTGGAGAATGGCGCGCAACACGCGCGAGCAACACGACCGATGGGACAACAGGACGGAATTGTTCGCAGCAAAACGAAGGAGAATCGGTGATGCGAACTAGCCTTCGTTTACGTTCAACAGGCCGGAAATGGTGTGCACGTGTAACCGTGTTTTTAGAGGAATCCCGTTCGCCAGGCGGCCGATCGACTAATAATAGACGTGATAATATTTGCTCGACCCGTACGGTGCTGTTCCCTGCCCGAACCAGACGATTGTGCGCGGCGTGGCTTAGGCGAGGATTATTTTCAGAGTCGATAGGAGCCTCGTGGTCGATCCAACGTGGACGATAAAGAGGGAGGAAGATCGAGATGGGTGTTCGCGATATGGGATCGATCGCGTTTCAGAAGCGCTAGCGCTGCGTCTGAACTCGAAGATCCAAGATGGCGGCGCCCAGTAGACGCTCGGTGCACGTATACGCGATCGAAATTCGTAGACGGAGAAATAATTAATTTCGCGTGGAACGCGAATGTTCTACAGTTGGCGAAGTAAAATTGGAAGGGATTAAACGTAATTGAACGACTCCGTCTTCGCGATCCAAACTAATAATACGTATTTCACGTTAAATTCCGCGTAGAACTTTTCGCTGCAGTAATTGCTCTCGTGTCCTATAATTCCGTAAACACCGGGTGTCTGTTTTCCAGGGAAGGTATTGTAAGATACGAAAAGAAATCGCGAATCGGCTATTGCCAACAAAAACAAATTGCAAACCGATCGATATCTTCTAGAAGCAAATCGAAAAGTTATTCTATATAACAAAATTAAGTCGCGTAGCTTCCCTATGGGCAGGTGAAGCACAGGTTAACACTAGATTTAAGGAACCCGTCAATTTGACGGAAGGGTTGCTTCAATTGTACTATGGTAACAGATTTAGTTAACTTATATTAAGACTGTTAATATAATATATAATTGTTTTTAAATTAAACTAATCATTTAAAAAAAGCACGTGGTTTCCTTTACCGGTCAATTTTACAGGTGTCCTTAGAAATAGGTATACAGATAGCGTCCGTAAACCCAGTGTTAAGGAAAGCATAAAAAGCGAGGTCCTTGACAGCCAAAACAGAGTCCTTGGAAATCGGTTGTGACCAGTACAAGCGTGAGTCGTTTGGTGTTGGAAAGAGAGTTTTAAACGAGTGCGTCTTTGTGTGTCTTCGTTATCTTGGTGTTCTTTCCCTGAGTTAAATCAGTTTACGAGTTTTGAGTTTGTGTTCTATCGCGTTCTTGTTCTTTCGTGAATTTTCGGTGTCTCGAGACCAGTATTCGCGATCCTACGGTATTAAAAAGAGTAATTTCGTATCGCAGAGAATTTCCCTAGTGTCGATGAAGGGATAAATGCGAGTTCTACGATTATATGGAATACCGTCAAGTACGTATGCACACTCGCGCATGGTACACACGCGACAAACGCCCGTGTCGCAGGATTTAATTCGAAAATTCCAATTGCCCGTTCCCGAGAATTAGTTCAATGAATAAAGCTACAGGCCGGACGAGATGCGATGAATTATTCAATGAATCGTTTCACGGCGGCTCGAACGTTTTACGAGAGAATCCATCGCAATTCCACCGTGGTACGATCATGTTTGCAAAGACGTTTTCAGTGTTGGTTCGCGATTATACGCAGCATCGTCACGCTATTGCGGCTCTCTGAGTCACTTTTAACGTGGCCGGGTATAATAAAATCTCGCGGAACGATTACGCTCCGCACGGGGTCCGCCGTGTAAAAAGAATTTAATCTCGTTATAATTACGCTAACAACGGGACTGGCTTGTACTCTATCGATACGCGGCCGAGTCACGAAAATGACGGATTAATTACAAACCGTGATCGACGATATTGCGATGATACGGTCATCGCCACTGAATCGCTCGAAAATTATAGACGAGGCGTAATGAAGATCGATAGACCGAATCGCGAGGCGTTTTTCATAGCCCATAAATCGACGTTTCACGGGGGAAAAAGTACGAGCTCTTGGCAATTTTTAAAACTCTCTACGCGGAAAATCTTTATCAGGCGTACTCGCGGGATCGCTGAAAAATCAGCGTAAAACGCTGCGCTCTTCTCGCTATCAGGAGTTACGAAGTTTTGTCACGCTTTGGCTGCAACTCGGCGCAAGCTTCGTGCCGGAAACGTATACACGTTGTAGTATATCGAATACGCTTTGAAATCATCCTCGCACGGCAATTAAACTGCTGGAGCAGAGAGAGAGAGAGAGAAATTCGAGACGATTAAATTTCAAGAAATTCCGATATCTTCTCGCCCTCGATTTCAATAAATTTCAATAAACCAGCAGCCAACAAAACGCTACCCGATGTACAAGGAGAAAATAAAAGAATCGCGAGTCAGAGGCGTGAATGATGGACACGGTCTAAGCGTTTTGTGCCTCCAACGTTCTCCTATTATTTTTTTTCTTTCTTTTCCTCCCTGCCTTTCTTCCTCTACCGATTCGAGTTAATTAGTGACGCTCGTATAACGAGGCGATTCGAAATTCTGATTTATAATCCCCTTGAGCCAGGCCGTGGCGATGTAAATCTCCGCGGGATCGATAAACCCAGCTCGGTTGCATCGACCACTGGAAAGGGTGGCGCTTTATAACCAGCCGGGGTGAAGGAACTCGGTGGATCTTACGCGATGGCCCAAGTTCCCGCACCACCCTCTTGTCGATGATGTCCGTCAGGAAGTTGTAAACCGATCTAATTGCGCCCATTTAACGACCAACTTCCGCCACGTCATACTTCGTGGATTATTTCACGGAATGAAACGAGAGAAACGAAAAGAAAGCCTGCGGATTTTGCTGGAAATATTCGAAACGGGAATATTCGAATCCCACTGATTACGGTCGCGAGATTATACTATAGACGTAAAAACAGGAGAAACCATAGCGATCCATCACGGCAGATATTGGCTAAATTGCTCACCGCAGGACTAATGTAATCCAAGGCAAAAGTAAATTAAGCAAACAAAAGGGAAACGCTCCATCCTTCTTCCGACCGTTTACTCGGCTCTAACCCACATTCCAGCGGTATTTATATAGAACAAATTAATTCTCGCTTAAGAGAAACGCACGAGCCAGTCAGGGGTGGATTCTAAGGGCAACTACGCGCTGGGAGACGCAACGATTAATAACCGTGTGGTAATGTACACGTTTCGTGATCCCGGTCGCGATTACCTGGCCTTAATGAAGCGCCGCCACTTCATAAACGCTGATATTTCCTAATAGATCTTCGTACGCTGGGATTAGCCAGAGGGCAGGCTGGAAATTGATAACGAGAGATCTCGCGGAGAAATGGGGTCCCGATGTACGACTCCGCGAATAGGCATTTTTAGGCAACTCGTAACTCTCCGGGGTCGGAAGCCGGCAGCGATTCTTTTCGTCGCGAGACTCATCACGAAAGTGATCCGTTTTAATTGAGAATGATGTCCCGCTTTCGTGTCGCGGTAACCCACCTCCCCTGGGCCTATAATTCGATTTTCCGTACCGCCGAGTTCACTTTGTCCCTAGCACGCGCAACCTTCTGCATACCTAACACGTGTCCTTTAATACGGATCCACATCGGATCCCCGGCGATTTATTGTCACTTCCGACGGCATAAATACCACCCCCCGTGTCACGGATCTTTTCTGATTAATATCTGTCGGCCACCGGTATAAACGCGATTCCGTGAGATGGTGGAATAACGAGTAAAGGCCTGAACTCGAAATTTTACGGCTGGCCAGTGAAAAGTGGCGTCGGGTGTTGAGCCCTTGCTGAATAATCAATACGAACGCTACAGACGCGATATATCGAGCAACGGGGAAATATTCCAAATTACCCTTCATCCAGCGAAACGTCGCCGTTATCAGTCAACGTATAAATGCGTCTAGAAGCCTGAAATATGCTCGGAAAAGGAAAACCGTCAGACGTAGAAAAGTCAGCCTATTCCGGGCGCAGAGCCTCTCGCGGAACCATGCGAAACGCGCTCGAGGGATGAAATATAACGCGATAAATCATACTCACGCTGGCTCGCCGTTCTGCTCCAGGTGCACCACGTTCCCACTTAACGTCTCGATCTCCTGCGCCCGCTTCACCACGTGCATCCCCATCTTCTCCCTCGGCGAGGACACCCCTCTGACCGTGTCCACGCTCACCCCAGTGTCCGTGGACCGCACGCTCTCGATCGAGTCCACCGACACCCTCGCGGACGATTTCAGGGACGTACCACTTCCGTGATTGTTGGGCCGAGCTTTCACCCCGGCGCTGTTCACATTTTTCGAATCGTTGCTCACCGCACCAACCACGCTGGACACGTTGTTCGCCCTCGAGGCTACCGAGGACTGATCGGAAACGGAAGTACTTTTCACGGTAACCGTAGTCGCGTTCGCTACAGCCTTCATCTCCGAACTATTCATGGACCTCGAAAGCGTTCTCGCGTCTTCCTGCTTCACCGAACCACTCGCGATCGACGCCGCTGTCCTTTGAGTCCCCGTACTCGACGAGTTCCTGGCAGAGTCGCTCGCTGACACGATCTCGTTGGTCTTGGTGGGATTCACCGTTGAGACGGGTTGAAACGAGCTGGCTTCCTCGGTTTTATGATCACTGGACCTGGTATTCTTCGTGTTCTGGTCGTTCGAAGTAGTCTGGACCCTGTTCGAGCGCTGCGTCGCTGACCCGGTGTTGTTCATGGCGCTGATCACCTTGCTCACGCTCTTCACCGACTGGCTCGCGTTGTTACTCTTCGAATGGCTGTTCGCCGTGTCGCTAGGAACCGGAGAGTCGTTTCTGCTCTCCGTTCCACCCTTCGTTCGTCCGTAGTTACCATTGGGTTTGTTAGATCTTGACATCTGATGGCTCGTCTGACGATGATCCTCGCCGTTGACGACCTGGGTATTTTGGGTTTGCCTAGTGGCCGAGTCATCGTTCGACGAGTTGGAAGATTTGCTGTAGGACAAGTCCTGCTGACTCTTCGTCTTTTCAGAGATGTTCCTCCTTTCGGAGACGTCTTTCTCCAGAAGAACCGCGTTGGCATCGATGTGGAGCGGCTGAACGGCCGTGGTCGCTGTCGTGTTCACCACGCTGGATGTTCCCGTGGCGCTGGAAGTCTGCTTCAGAAGATCGATCAGATGAAGATCCGCGATACGTTCGCTGCTGGAATTTTTCTCGCTAGCCTGAGACCCTTTCGATCCCGTGTCAGACTGCTTGCTACCCTGACTGGACTCGTTCGTTTGTTCGCTGCTCGTACGAACATCTTTGGACCCTTTATCGGCAGCCTTCTTGTTCTTGCCGTTAGGCTGGTCGGAAAGAGGGATGAATCTAGCTGGATTC